AAGAATGCAGCAGACCAGTTTGAAAAAGACAGATGCACCCCTATGTTTATCTCAGCACTATTTACAATAGCCAAGAAATGGAAGCAATCTAAGTGTCCATCAGTAGATGAATGGATAAAGAAGATGTGGTACATATATACAATGGAATATTACTCATTCAGCCATAAGAAGAAAACAAATACTACCATTCGCAACATGGATGGAGCTAGAGGGTATTATGTTCAGTGAAATAAGCCAGGCAGAGAAAGACAAGTACCAAATGATTTCACTCATATGTGGAGTATAAGGACAAAGAAAGACTGAAGGAACAAAACAGCAGCAGAATCACAGAACCCAAGAGTGGACTAATAGTTACCAAAGGGAAAGGGACTGGGGATGATGGGTGGGAAGGGCGGGATAAGAACGGGGAAAAAGAAAGAGGGCGTTACGATTAGCATGTATAGTGCATGGGGGGCATGGGGAGGGCTGCACAACACAGAGAAGACAAGTAGTGATTTTACAGCATCTTACTATGCAGATGGACAGTGACTGTGAAGGGGGGAGCCTAGTAAACATAATGTTCATCATATAATTGTGGATTAATGATACCAAAATAAAAAATAAAAAATAAAAAGAAGATACAATAGTTTTTTATGGAATTTTAAAAAAACTCTGGGGGTGGGGGTAAGGTCAGGAAATAATTTATAAAGGACAGAGGGAAACTTTAGGGGGTGAAACATGTTAATTGTCTTAACTGTAGTGATGTTTTCATGAATGTAAACTTACATCAAAAGTCATTATGCTGTACATTTTAAGATGTGCAATTCATTGTGTGGCAATTATACTGCAATAAAGATGTAAAAAAAAAGATTTAAAAAAATCCATCAACATTATCCACCACATTGACAAAAAGGCAAAAACCACATGATCATCTCCATAGATGCTGAAAAAGCATTTGACAAAATTCAACATCCATTCATGATAAAAACTCTCAATAAAATGGGTATAGAGGGCAAGTATCTCAACATAATAAAGGCCATATATGATAAACCCACAGCCAACATTATACTGAACAGCGAGAAGCTGAAACCTTTTCCTTTAAAATCGGGAACAACACATAATATAGCAGGGGGTAGGGGGGAGACATGGGAAAGGCAGTATATACAGAGAAGACAAGTAATGATTCTATAGCATCTTACTATGCTGATGGACAGGGACTGCAGTGGGGTATGTGCGGTGGGGGGGACTTGATAATAGGGAGAGTCTAGTAACCATAATGTTGTTTAAGTAATTGTACATCAACGATTAAAAAAAATCAGGAACAAGACAAGGATGCCCACTCTCCCTACTTCTATTCAACATAATAGTGGGGATCCTAGCCACAGCAATCAGACAACACAAAGAAATAAAAGGCATCCAGATTGGCAAGGAAGAAGTCAAACTGTCCCTGTGTGCAGTTAACATGACATAGTACATAACAAACCCTAAAGAATCCACTCCAAAACTACTCGATCTAATATCTGAAACCAGCAAATTTGCAGGATACAAAATTAATATGCAGAAATCTATGGCATTCTTATACACTAACAATGAACTAGCAGAGAGAGAAATCAGGAAAGCAATTCCATTCACAGCTGTGTCAAACCTAGGACTAAACCTAACCAAGGAAGTGAAAGACCTATACTCTTAAAACTACAAGACACTTATGAGATAAATTAAAGAAGATACCAATAAATAGAAACACATTCCCATGCTCATGGATAGGAAGAATTAATATTGTTAAAAGGCCATCCTGCCTAAAGCAATCTACAGATTCAATGCAATTCCTATCAAAATACAAACAGCATTCTTCAACGAACTAGAGAAAATCATTCTAAAATTCATATGGAAACACAAAAGACCTCAAATAGCCAAAGCAATCCTGAGAAGGAAGAATAAAGCTGGGGGGATTATGATCCCCAACTTCAAGCTCTACTACAAAGCCACAGTAATCAAGACAATTTGGTACTGGCACAAGAACAGGCCCATAGACCAATGGAACAGACTAGAGAGCCCTGATATAAACCCAACCATATACAGTCAATTAATATAGGATAAAGGAGCCATGGACATACAATGGGGAAATGACAGACTCTACAACAGCTGGTGTTGGCAAAACTGGACAGCTACATGCAGGAGAACGAAACTGGATTATTGTTTAACCCCACACACAAAAGTAAACTCATAATGGATCAAAGACCTGAATGTAAGTCATGAAACCATAAAACTCTTAGAAGACAACATAGGCAAAAATCTCCTGAATATAAGCATGAGCAACTTCTTCCTGAACATATCTCCTCGAGCAAGGGAAACAAAAGCAAAAATGAACTCATGGGATTACATCAAACTAAAAAGTTTCTGTATGGAAAAGGACATCATCAACAGAACAAAAAGGCATCCTACAGTATGGGAGAATATATTTGTAAATGAGATATCTGACAAGGGGTTAACATACAAAATATATAAAGAACTCACATGCCTCATCATTGAAAAAGCAAATAATCTGATTAAAAATGGGCAGAGGATATGAAGAGACAGTTCTCCAAAGAAGAAATTCATATGGCTAACAGACACATGAAAAGATGCTCCACATCACTAACCATCAGGGAAATGCAAATTAAAACCACAATGAGATATCACCTCACACCAGTAAGGATGGCCAGCATCGAAAAGACTAAGAGCAACAAATGCTGGTGAGGATGCGGAGAAAGGGGAACCCTCCTACACTGCTGATAGGAATGTAAGCTAGTTCAACCATTGTGGAAAGCAATATGGAGGTTCCTCAAGAAGCTAAAAATAGAAATACCATTTGACCCGGGAATCCCACCCCTTGGAATTTACCCAAAGAATACAACTTCTCAGATTCAAAAAGACATATGCACCCCTATGTTTATACAGCACTATTTATAATAGCCAAGATATGGAAGCAACCTAAGTGTCCATCAGTAGATGAATGGATAAAGAAGATGTGGTACATATATACAATGGAATATTACTCATTCAGCCATAAGAAGGAAACAAATCCTACCATTTTCGATAACATGGATGGAGCTGGAGGGTATTATGCTCAGTGAAATAAGCCAGGTGGAAAAAGACAAGTGCCAAATGATTTCCCTCATTTGTGGAGTATAACAACGAAGCAAAACTGAAGGGATAAAATAGCAGCAGACTCAGAAACTCCAAGAAGGGACTAGTGGTTACCAAAGGGGAGGGGTGTGGGAAGGTGGGTGGGGAGGGAGGGAGAAGGGGATTGAGGGGTATTAAGTTTAGTACACATGTTGTGGGGGATCACAGGGAAAACAGTGTAGCACAGAGAAGGCAAATAGTGAATCTGTGGCATCTTACTACACTGATGGACAGTGACTGTATTGGGGGTATGGGTGGGGAATTGATAATATGGGTAAATGCAGTAACCACATTGTTTTTTATGTGAAACCTTTATAAGAGTGTATTATCAATACCTTAATTAAAAAAAGCTCTACAGACACACATGTATTAACTACACAACCCAGCAAGGTGGGCACTGAGAGACCCTCTGTACAGATGAGGAAACTGAGGCTGAGAAATTACACATCTCACTCTGTCACCCAGCGGATGTCATCTTGCACTAAGACAGGGAGCTGAGCATGAGCCCCAGCTGTTTAGGGGAAGCCCCACCCACTGCTCTCACCACCAGCTTCTGCAAGCCTCTCTTCAGTTCTCTGTAAGACGCAAGTGAAAAATTGCTGCTCACCCCAGGCACAGCCCTCAGGAAAGAGAATGGGTTGGGCCCTCACTGGGCAACACCTTACCGAAGAGCCTTTTCCACATGGTCAGCTTGATGTCAGCCTGGTGGAGGCCTCGCTTGAAGGAGATGGGGCAGAACGGGCCTTCCAGGCGCCGGGCCTCCTGAGAGCTCTGCTCTGCTGGGAGCTCTGCTCTGGAGACAACAGTTCACAGTGGCTGTGCTGCTGGCACTGTGCACGCCATCCCTTCACTTGTGTGCAAGTCCACCCAGCCACTCCACAGCCTCAAAGACTCAAGACAGCCCATCATTCCCACCCCCGCATCCCTGCTGTTTGCAGAAGACCCGCCTCGTTCCTGGAAGAGGAAACACTGGACCTTCAGTGGTTCTCCTAGTGCAGCTCAGGGATCTGCAGCATCACCTGATGTTAGAAATGCACATTTTCTTGGGTCCCTTCCTGAGACCCGGTGAATCAAGCTGATGACTAGGCCCAGTAGCCTGTATTTTAATAAGCTCACCACGTGATTCTGATGCACACTACTGTTTGAGGGCACCATCTCTGTCAGGTGACCCTGGACCCAGCCACAGCTGAATTGAATCCCAGTTCAGCCAATCAGATTCACTGTCTTTTCATTTAAATCAAGGCTCCTTAACAAACTGTCCCTAAGACTAAAAGAAATTTGAGAGAATAAGTTGATTCTCATAAACGGGGTCTGAGAAAGGCTCGGGAATTGCATGGGGTGTTCATTTGCTGGGACTAGAACATGGTCCAACCCCTTCCCACAAGCTGTGGTGCAGGTGAAGGCCCTCGTGCTAGCCATTCCCTACCTCTCCCACCTGATCTCCCATTCTGCCCCATGCTATCCCTTACTCCCTAGCTATACTAAACTTCTCAAGATTCTCCCCCAAGTCTGAGTGTTACTCTGCCCTTCCATGTGACTCTCCCCATTCTGCTTGCCTGGCAGCCTCCTGTAAGCTGCCCTTCTCAGCTTGCCAACCAGTGCACACTGTCTGCCAGTCCCCTCTAGTCACATGCTCTGTGATAATTCCATAGCTTTTGCAAACTTCTGTTCTAGGTACCCACGGTGATGTAACCAGAGTTCACCTATCACCTCTCACCAGCCTTCAAGACCCCTGAAGGCAGGCCCATGACCCTCATCTGTTTTCCCTGGGCTCAGGACAGAGCCAGATGTGGGCAGCTGCTCCCAATGAACTGAAGGGAGGAACTAGTGGAGACGGAGAGCTCCCTCCAAAGTTATTACCTGGAGGCCATGGAGTGGTACTTCTGGAAGACAAGAGAGAGGCAGGTTAAGGCAAGGAGGAGGCTATGCAGAGGCCATTGGGAAGATGGAGGCTCTTGGGAATCTAGGGGCTTCAGCATGGGGGACTTCCCCTTGTCCATTCACCTGGATGAATTCATGGTGACTCTCGTTACCGAACTGCTCCAGCACACGCTCAGCCTGGCCCAGCTGCTCACGAGTTCCTGGAGCCTGCTCCAGCTGCAGGTCCAGGGAAGCCACGAGGCCTTAGGGGTGACCCTCCACCCCTTGCAGGTACCGGGCCTTCTCCTCGTCCACCAGGTGGTGCAATTCCTGGAACTCATGGCAGATCACCCAGCTGAAGCCATCGGACTCGTTCTGGGACAGGGAGTGCCTAGTCACAGCCAGCACCAGAGGAGCTGTGGTCTATGGCTGACAGTGTCCCCAGGGCCTAGCAGCCTAGGTCTTCTTGGGCCTTGTCTTGCCAATGGGTTTCAGCCCTGGGCGACTTTGCTATGAATTCAGTGTGACCAAAGAAAATTACAGCAAAATGTTCTTGAAGTGAAAGGGTTATACCCAACTTTATTTCCAGGTAGCAGGTCAGTCACTAAAATCCCATTCACTCAGAGCGAGTCTGTATGCAGGAAGCCAGTCTCTGCCTCTGGGCCCCTCTGTCCACACAGCCGTCCCACAGAGCCATCCTCCGGGCCTCTCTGCACAGTTGTCCCACACAGCCATCCTCTGGGCCTCTGTCCTTGGCACTGCCACCACTCCAGCCTCTGCTCTGCTCTCCTGCAGCCTTGCAGCCCTGCCACCATGTTGCACCCAGAGCACTGGGTGGAGCTCTTTTTATAGTGAACAGCCATGTATCGCCCACAGGTGTGCAGTGAGCTAGTCAACCACGGCCAGGTAAGAATCCTGGCCACAGGAACTCTCAGTTTATCCACAGGCCTTCCTGACTCAGGCTGGCCCTAATACCTGAGTCCCAGGGCTCACTCCTGCCCAGGGTGTTCACACTGTGCCTAGGGGATCCCAGATGTGGCCACAGTGGGAGAGGCTGGGTCCCCAGCTCCTATTTCAAATGTAGTGGCTCTGTTTTCGCTTGTCTGAACTATTAAGCCTGCATGTTAGATTGCACTTTAGCACAGGGTCCCACACCTGAGGAAAGATCAAAAGGCCCTTTGAGGGCTGTCTGGAGAGAGAGCCAGGATTTCTGTGAGACCCCAAGTTCTGCCTCCATCAGACGGGGTAATGCCACCTCCCCTCCAGGGTGAGGAGGGGTGAACAAGTTGACTCTCAGGGGAACTGGTCCCTTGCTCCTGTTCCGCAGCAGCCGGGGCTCCACACCTTCCCGCCTTGCCTATCAGTTAGGAAAAGCAGCCAGCCACTGAGGGCTTCAGACCTTTCAAGGCCTGTACTCCAATGCACTGGGTGGCTACCACAGACTGTCAAGGTCAAGCACAGGAGGCAGGGGTGGGTGAATCACACCCACACTTTGGGCTTTTTACCTCTGGGACTTAGGTTCTGTGTTGTCTCAGTCCCAAGGATGTGGGGGATACAAACCAACTTGGAGACAGCCCTGGCAACTTGGTTGAATTCCCCTGGGAAGATTTGCACTTTCCCCACCCTGCCCTGGAATGCTTTGAATTCTGGCTTTCCATGGAAGGCCTGAATTTCTGTGAAGGACAAATTAGAACTGGGCTCTTCAGCCAAGGAAGGAGGCTGGTTCTAGGGCAGAGGGCAAAGGGAAAGGGCACTGACGACAATCCGGGTCCTGTTGTTCACCTGTTTGGCAATATGCTCATCCACCTTCTTCTGTTCCTGCTTCAGGTCAGAGATGAGAGCCGCTAACTCCTCCGGAAGGCAACATTCCATGGCCTGTGAGCAGCTGGCACCCTCACCCTCTTCACTATCTGGGGCCAGCCCTGGGCCTCACCCTTGGGAGCAAGCAGCCCAATGACCATGAGCACCCCCACTGGAGTCAGGGTAAGGCCCAGAGTTACCCAGATACCCTTGACCCCAAAATAGGTAAGGTTATTCTAGAATATTCCTGACTGAGAGCGGAAATTTCCCTGGCAGAAGAAGGTCTCCATGTTACATGTCATTTCTCTCCATGACATGGACAGAGATTCTAAACCCAGACAACATCCACAGTTACAGTCACTGCACAACACCCAAAAGCATCAAGGGCCAGTCTGAAGCCAATGCTCCCTGTGTGGAACACTCCCTGGTAAACCCACCAGTCACCAGCAGGCCCAGAATGAGTGGACATTTGATCAAGAGTATCACAAAGAGGCTGGCCTCCAGGGAAGCCAATGATGCATATAGTGGCCCAGGTTACATCTGGTGATTCTCCAGTCCCTGTGAAGACCTGAATCCATCCCCGGCAGATGTGTGCCCAGCCTCTCACTTCTCCTGGGCCAGCCGCCCTGGCCCCAAACCTAACCTAGTCTTAGAGGTCCAGCCAGGACCCCCAGACCACAGTCTGGCTGCACTGCGTGACTACAGTCCTGCTGGCCTGCACCCACAAAGTACACAGACTCCTTGGTTTAGATAATTCCTGTGAGAAACACTTACTGGTCCAAATTCAATAAGTGGACACGGAGACAAAGAGAACAGCAGAGCGAGGCTTTAACGACGCTCTTGCAAGATCAGGTGTCCGCTGGGCAGGCACACCTGGGGAGTTTGGCGCCAGTAATTTATTTCCTACTGCGTGAGTCCCTCCCCTGGTTCCTCATTGGCTGAGTACTACAGGGTTCACATTCTTCCCTGGCCATCGCCTAAGCCAGTTATATCTTTCCTTTACATTTGTCTTAATCTTACTGGTAGGTTTAAAAAACTCAAACAGGTATCGCCAGGCCCTTATCAATTTCCCCACCCCCCACTCAGCCCGAGCAGCTTCCACTACGTGGCCCTTTATTAATACCTTACTGTTAAAATGTTTAAACATCCTAGTGGGAAGAAATCACATTTAGGTTTTATACTCTTTCCTAACATTCCCAAGAAGAAGTTGGGGCAAGAGTCTTTCAGGAAGGGAGCTGAGTAAAGAATAAAGCCAGTGTAGGGATAAATGGACACAGTCTTGCTCTGGATAGTGAGGCATCTGAAGATCTCACAGCAGTCCAAGAAGGGAATTTGAATGGTAGCCTTCCCAACGCAGAGGGAGACAGAACCAGTTCTTTCCCGTCAACTGGGCCACAGTGGGAGGAAACAGAACTTTGCAAATGAATAAATAATTTCAAGATCTCAGTCAATAGGAGAAAACAGGTATGTGTGAAGGGCATCTGATAAAAGAACATTATTTAGTTGGGTCACTGAGAAGATTCTTGAGATCACAAAAACCCACACCCCAAACCAGGAAGCTGTCCCCAGCTCCTCGCCAGAAACGAAGGGCAAGCCTATGCGTTTCCTTCTCTCCCAGACAGCCCTCCTCGAATCAAATGTGGGCTCAATTTCATTGCACTGCAATTGGGCTTCCTCCTTCCACACTCCCCTAAACCTACTCTTGCCAAGATAATCAGTTCTTACTGTTAATCTAGCAGACTCTTCAGTTCCCAGCAGACATTTCACCTGAGTGTGATGTTCTCATTAAAATGGTCTGTTCTGATTTCCAGGAGGCTGTATTCAGCCGGTGTTCTCACTTCCTCTGATGCTTCTTTCTGTCCCCTTTTTGGTGCTCTCTCTCTCTACACAAATCTTAAACCCTGGTGCTCCCTGGGGGCATCGTTTGTGTCTTCCCTTATCACTCTGCAGACTCCCCTGGTTAGTCTCCTCCCTCCTATGGCTTCTATCACCACCCACATACATACAGTACTCCCAATCTCTTACCCCAGCCTCACTCTCCATTCTCCCCTCCAGCAGGATTGGACCACATCTTGACCCTGCTTAAAGCCCTCCAGTGCCCCCCACCACCACCACCACCAGAGTCCTCTGCAAAATCGACAAAGCCCTTCATGTGTCACATAGGCCTTTCCATGGCCTGGCCCTGATTACCTCACCTGCCCCATCTCGCTCCCACCTTTCTCTCACTTGGGCTTAATGGACCAACTTACAATTCCTCAAAAGTGCCATGCTGTTTGCCTCCCAGTCTTTGGCAGTGGTCTTTATACTTGAAATGTTTTTCCTCCCCTTCCTTTCCTATCAAGTCCTCCTTGTAGCTCAGGTCTCAGACTAGCAGTCCCCTTCCTCTAGGAAGCCTTCCATGACTACCTGAGACCATGCAGGAGCCATGTTCCTGGTAGTCTCACCATTTCTGATGTTTTACCCTTGACAGCAGCACCTGACACACAGGTCTCTCTGACAGACCTACAGATAGGGAGCTCCTCTAGAGCAGGGTGACCCTCTTGCCCACTATTAGACCTGGGCACTGGACACCTAGCACATATCAGATGCCCAGTGACTGTCTGTGGGTAGCAGGGGCTGGTGGACAATGTGGCTGGCTCTGTGCAAGTTTACTACTTGTCTCCCAGGGTTAAAGGAGCAATGAAATGCTGCTCAGAAAACTCAGCCAGGAAACCCCTGGAACAGCTTACAAGGGGCCCCTCTGCCTGGAGACCTGAATGCTCTTTCCTTTCCTTGCCCCCATCACCTGTATTTTGTTTGCACTCTTCACCTTCCTGCCAAACACCCTGCCAGGTACCCATAATAATTTGCTTCCAAGAGCCCTCCCTGCCCTTTCTTAATTTGTTGGCAGTGGAAAGACAACTGGCCTTGGTTCAAGTTCTAGCTTTGCCACGGATGAGCTGCATGAACTTGGGAAAGACCCTTACCTTCCGGGCCTCGGCCTCCTCCTCTGTAAAATACAGTAATAAGTCTACCCTTTGTAAACCTTAGATCAATGTGTTAACCTAAGATGGTAGCACTGTTATTATTATTCATCTTAAATGATGATCTGCTAGATCTGAAGCAGAAGTCCACAAGGGCAGGAATGCACTGATTCCACATATACATTCTGAGCATTTACTACATGCGAGATGGGGCTCTTGGCATAGGAATATACCTGGGAACGAAACAAACTCCTTGCCCTGCTGCATCTGAGAGTGCAGTCTGGGAGCACTCAAGAAATGAGAGAGGGACAAAGGAAAACACAACAGGGGAAGAAGGGACTAGCCCCTGACACAGGGGCTCTCCATTCTGCATGTGGCGGGACTCCCCAGCACCTGGGGACTGGAGCAGATGCTCCAACACCATGGGTAGACAATGCTGTGCAAGGTCTGCTCCAGGTCAAGCCTGGAGGAAACTTGTATTCTCGCCCTGGACCCTTCTTTGCCGCGGTGCCCAGTCTTCCCGCCCACAGGCAACCTCCCTACCTTCATGTGGCTGTAGGCAGTGGAGATGGGCGTGACCTTGTGGTGCTGGTGGGAGCCCAGCAGGCCGCAGAGACTAGATGAGCTCTTGGTCCTTCTCACAGAAGAGGATGAGCGGGTTCTGGTGGTGCACACACTCCTTGGGCTCTGGGGCCCCGGGGTGGGGTGCAGGGCTTCGATCACTAGCGCCAGGGAGACACTGGGCTGGGAGCTGCTGCTGACACACAGGGAAATGCAGCTCCGAGTCCAGCTGGCGGGACGGGGACACCAGGCAGCCCTTGCAGTGGGAGTGGCCACACTGCAGCATCAGGGGCTCCTTGAAGACCTCCAGGCAGATGGGGCACTGAAGGCGGTCCTCCAGCTCAGGCATGCTCACCTGCCATGCCATCCTCGGTGGCCCTAGAACACAGGGCAGCCTTCCTGGAGCCTGCTCCCTCCACTCCCTGTCCCCAGCCACTGTAAAGAGCCACTGGAAATTAGAAGGCCTTACAGATTCCAGTCCTGACCCTGATACCTTGGACCTATTTCCCGTCTTTAAAAAAAGGGCTTAAATGAAAAAAAATAGGTTCTTGGAGATGCATGATTCTGCATTTTTTTACCCAAATGTGGAGGTAATCAAGAAAGGAGGCATATGTGTGGTTATTTGGAGTGACACTAATAATGCAAGCCTCAGCTGTCACAGGCTTAGAACAGAACAGCAAAAACAAAGGTCCTTCCTATCCGCTAAATCGGTGCTCAAACTGCTGGAAGCACAGCTGTAACAGAGATGCCTGAGTCACCGTCCACACATCCCACACTCCCCCTACTGTAAATAAAGACCAGGAAATCTGCATTTACAATAGACACCCTCAGGTCATTCTAAAGCAGAGAGTTCTGTCTGAGAACAACACTGTTCCAAAGTCGGACCAAGGAGAACTCTCTCCTACTCTCCTACCACCTGGCCCTGGGAAAACCGACTGGCACAGAGAGAGAAGCGCTGAGCTGCCAGTCGGCCGGGGGCCCAGGAAGAGACCCCCTCATTGGACTAGCTGGCTTCTCATGATCCACTGTGTCTCCCACTGGGGTGTCAAACCAGCATCACCCACCAATCCACTTGGCCTTTTCTTCTCCCCCGGGTAGGACAGCAGGCACAGAGAACCAGGGAATGCAGCTGGTCACCTGCTCCACCACCAAATCTCTGCCCCTCTCTTCCTCCCCTTTCCCGGCAACACCCCATGTCCTCAAGGTCACCCCGAATCAGATGGAAATTGGACCACATCACAGGACTGGGGAGGCAGTCTCTGCTTGCCTGCTCTGATAATGGCCACATTCAGGTGCTCTCCTTGACAAGGCATGGGGCGGGGCAGAGACAGAAGGACTGGGTCCCCCACACACTGTAAAGGCCCAAATGGGAGCAGACACACGCTTTGACACAATTCTTTCCATTTCTGTTCTGAAGATACTTTCATTTACTTAGATTTTTTAGTGGAAGTATGACTTATAATCAAGTGCACAAATCTTAACCATGTACTTGATGTACACATTATGTGTGTATATTCACTTTCAAGATCAAGGTACACCCAGAAGACACCCTCATGCGCCTTCCCCACAAAGCTGTTATGCTAATTTATACCATCGTGGTAATGTGGTCTGGTTTTGAATTTCAAATAAACAGAATTACATAGTATATACTCTTTTGAGCCTGATTTCTTTTATTCGATATTATTGAACTATGAACTTTTTTACATAAAGTCTTTCAAAGATTTAGAAGTTCAATGAGGTGGTGGGGGGGAGGGAGTTGTTAATCGGAAAAGACAGGTGGGAGAGGGTCTCTAGGAGAGTAAGAAACAAGGAGCTCTAGACAAGCAGGTCACCATCCCCCAAGGGCTGTGCACCCGTGTCACCCAGCAGAGGAGGGCTCTACCCCATGATAAGCAAGACAAAGGTCTGGCATAGACAGGTAAGAAGCTATTTATATTTGTTAGTTAAACAAATCTCTATTGATATGGCCAGTTCATCATTGACAAAAGGAGCAAAAACATACATTGGGGAAAGAGAGAGTCTTTTCAATAAATATTTTTTTGGAAAACTGGATAGCCCCATGCCAAAGAATGAAACTGGACTACTATCTTAGACCATTAAGAAGAAAAAAATTCAAAATGGATTAGAGTTGAAGTTAAAACCTGAAACCACAAAACTAGAAGCAAACAGGCAGTAAGCACTTTGACACTGTTCTCAGCAGTATTTTTTGCACAAGTCTCAGGGAAGGACAACTAAAGCTCAAGTAAGCACATGGGATTACAAACCAAAAAAGCTTTTGCACATCCAAGGAACCATCAACAAGACAAAAAGGCAACCTACTGAATGGGAGAAGATATTTGCAAGTCATATATTTCATAAGGAATTAATATTTAAAATATAAGTAATTTAATATCAAAACCAAAATAACCTGATTTAAAAATGGGCAAAGGCTTGAAAAGACATTTTCCAAAGATGTACAGATGGCCCACAGGCACACGAAAAGACGCTCACCATCACTAATCACCAGGGAAATGCAAAGCAAAACTGCCATGAGATACCGCCTCACACCTGTCAGATCGTCTATTATCAAAAAGTAAAAAATAACAAGTGTTGGCGGGGATGTGGAGAAATGGGAACCCGCTACGAGTTTCGATGTGTGCTTGCCCCTCCCCCGCCACGTGCGCCATGACGCTCCGCGCCCCCACCGCGTGCTCCTCGCAACGTGCACGGGCGGGCAGTTGGTTGCGGCTGACCCCGGAACGGAGTGCAGCCCTCGCGGGCAGAGGGCAGGATATAAAGGGACTGCTGGACTGCGGCGGGCTTCGGGAACTTCCCCGAGTGGCCGTGTTGAAGGCTCACGCGGAGATGGGGGGGAGCGCCCAGAACCCGGGAGTCCTGCAAGGTGGCAACGCCCCTGGCCAGGTGAGAGCCCGGGCGCTGGGGAGTCGGGGCTGGGGGCGCCGGGGTCCGGGTGCAAACCCAGGGCCCTGAGAGTGTGTTTCGTTCCCTGCAAGTCTCTGTATGAGCGGTTAAGTCAGAGGATGCTGGACATTTCTGGGGACCGGGGCGTGCTGAAGGCTGTCATCCGAGAGGGTGCTGGAGAGCTGGTGACACCGGATGCTTCAGTGCTAGGTACTGCCTGTGGCCGGGTGCCATCTGTCCCCTGACCCTGAGAAAGTGATGGTGGCTATGCGAGCTTCACTGCGCTTGACTTTGGGGAGGGGAGAAGCTCTTTTCTTTTTTTCTCAAATGAGCATTTTATAGGGTAGAACATGCTTTGTTAGAACTTGGTTTTTTAAGGGAAAGTGGGGGAACCTGTCTCCCCCTTGTGTGAGCCCTCTGTGGACAAGGGACACTGCGAAGCTCCTGAACCAAACGTTGAGTAAAGGGTTTTCCATAGTTTTTGTGTTAAGTTGAAAGAGACTCGATATAGAGGTGCTGTATCTGCTCTGTTTTCCTCACTGTCGCTTTTCTTCTGCCCTAGTAAAATATTCTGGATATCTGGAGCACATGGATAAGCCTTTTGATTCTAATTACTTTAGGAAGACTCCTCGGCTAATGAAACTTGGAGAGGGTAAGTTCACATTAGGAACTGGGAAAGAAGGAATCATTTGGGCAAACCGTCTAGAGCGCAGATTCTTTGTGCTGGTTTTTCTGAGGCCAGGTTTTGCTAAATCAGCCATGTTCTCTCCCACATTCCCCCTTCCAACCTAGGTTATTTGGGAGATGGCCTGCCTCGCAAGGTTATCTTTGCACTGACTTAACTATAAGGTGTGGGGTTTTTCTTTGTTCAATAATTAAACATCTGTTGAATGCTTACTAGCCAATTAAGTAATCATCTGTTGAATGCTTACTACCTATAATGCACAGTGTAAAGAGAGGATGTTCTCAAATGATTGGAACCCATCAGTCAGTGTGGAAGAGATTGACCTGTGTGCAGATAACTAACCTGGTAGAACTGGGTGAGTTCCTTGGGGATAAAAGCAGTGATGTGGGAGTGCTTAAGGCACAAGTGATTCCAGCTGGGAAGATCAGAGAAGGCTTCATGGGAGAGGGGGAGTCTGAAATGAGCCCTGCCTTTTGAAAAAGATTTCAATTGGGAGAAGTTGGGCATAGGGTGAGGCAGAATTTCTCACAGGAAGAAGCAATTTCACAACCAAAGATGTAGAGGCCAGAATGTAGCAGAGCCTGAAGCCGAAGACTCTAGAGTTTGGGGATGGTGGTGGAGTGGGAAAGTAGGCTGGGAAGTGAATTGGGACCACAGTGTCCTGTGGATTTGGACTTGAAGGCAGAAGAGGTGGGTAGTGTTGGAGCAAGAGGCTTCAACCAGTTGTCTTTTCTTCCAGATATTACCCTTTGGGGCATGGAGCTGGGCCTTCTGAGCATGCAGAGAGGCGAGCTGGCCAGGTTTCTGTTCAAACCGAGCTATGCCTATGGAACGCTAGGCTGCCCTCCCTTGATCCCTGCAAACACCACTGTCCTGTTTGAGATTGAGCTGCTTGACTTCCTGGACTCGGCTGAGTCAGACAAGTTTTATGCCCTTTCAGCCGTGAGTTCTGGAGCGCAGATGTCAGCACTTTAGAGATAAATGGGTTTGTGTTGTTGGTAATTATCCTGCCGATGAACCTCCGCACTAGTGTGGCTGGTGGTGGTGGTGGTGGTGGTGGTGGTGGTGGTGGGTGGGGGGAGAAGTTCCCTCACTGCTAGTACATGTCTGTCTGAATAATGACTCATGGGCCAAAGTCAGGCTATGGGCTTGTTAAGGACAAGCGATTAGCACTCTTGAGTCACCCTCTGCAAGACAGGAAACATTTACTCCTCCACATTGTTTGGTTTCCAGCAGGTCAAGCATTGGTAGCTTATAACTAGGCTGACCGTATTTAGTGTCTGACCCAGGACACCCGAGAGTGAAAGAAATTATAGCTCACGTCCTGCTACCCCATCAGTTAATAAGTGTGGACAATCCCAGGTGGGCGGGCCATGCAGCCTCTGTCCCCATAACTTAAGCACTGCCTTTCCTCTGCAGCTGCTCACTTACCTGTCCCAGAGAGGCTTGGCTCAGTCTCCGCTGCAGCCATGTACACTCTGCTGTGCTGTCTCACCCTCACTGTACATGTGGCCTTAGATGTCCATCTAGGGTTACATCTGCAACTGTCCCCCCAGCTGAACCACCATCCCCTCCAGGGAGGAATCTTACCTTTTTCTCAGGTTTCCACAAAGTAGATAGAGGCCCGGGTCCCACCGCCAGTGTGCTGATTTAGCACCTCTGAGGGTAGGGCCAGGACATGTGTATGTGAAGAGAGGCTCTGTGGAAGATTCTGGTACTTACCCAGGCTGGAGCATCACGATTATGAGAACAAGCAGGGCTCTGGGCAGCCCGAGGCCTGTCCAATGCGTGTGGGACATACGGTGGCCGGGAGACCTGATTTCTGTGTTTAGCAGGTTCCGTCACTTTCTATGAGAAACCATTTCTTTAGGGAGTATCTCTGGGAGGCTTAAAGAAGTAGATCTTCTGGCTCGGGTCTGTAAACAGGAGCAGGAATAACACCAGCCTGCTGCAGCTTCCTTGGGGATTCACAGAGATGATCTCTGCAGAGGCACCCAGCCCACTGCCTGGCACATGCACGGCAGGAAACAAAAGTTCCCAGTTTGAAGGAAAGAAACCTGACAGCCATCATAGCACTTGCGTCGTGGCATTGTGCTTTCGGTTCCCTTGCCAGGTATCCTTGTCTTTGATTCTCAGGAGCAACAAAATGAGTTTCCGCTTCAGAAGGTCCTAAAAGTAGCAGCTACTGAACGGGAGTTTGGCAACTACCTTTTCCGCCAAAATCGTTTCTATGATGCCAAAGTGAGATATAAACGGGTGAGAATGCTTTAGAAATAAAAGTTTAGACCCTGAAAACTTGTGTGAAAGATCTATCTCATCCCTTGTTCTACTTTTGATATGCAGCCATTGAGAAAACTCTTACTAAAAAATCCTCATGCCAAAAAACTGACTGGGCGAGGGAATGGGATCTGGAGGAGCCTGGTCACGTGCTGTGTTTGGATCTGAACGTGGTTACGTGGGTGTGTTCAGGTTGTGACATCCTAAATCCTTTGCTCTCATTTCAACCACCTTCACAGCCTTTTCCCCAGGAGTAGATTCCATTTCAAGCAAACACTTTTTTTGCTCATCTGTGAGAAGCAACTGTGTTGAGATTTCTTGTGAGATTGCAGCAATTCAGCCACACCTTCAGGCCTCACTGCTAATTCTAGTTCTCTTGGTGTTTCCCATCTGCAATGACTTCCTTCACTGAAGTCCTGAACCATTCAAAGTTACTCACTGAGGGTTGAAATCCACTGCAGAAGTCCTGTTAACGTTGACATTTTGACTTTTTCCTGTGAGTCACAAATGTTCTTAATGGCATTTACAATGGTGAATCCTTTCCAGAAGGTTTTCAATTGACTACCCAGATCCATCAGAGGTATCATAATCTGGCAGCCTTACAAAATGTATTTCTTCAATAATAAGACTTGAAAGTTGAAGTGCCTCCTTGATCCGTGGGCTGCAGAGTAGATGTTGTGTTGGTAGGCATGAAAACATTAATCTCATTGCACATCTCCATCAGAGCTCTTGGGTGACCAGGTACATTGTTAGTGAGCAGTGATATTTTGAAGGAATCTTTTTTCTGAGCAGTAGGTCTCAACAGTGGAATTAAAATATTCAGTAAACCAAGTTGTAAATAGATATGCTATCATCCCAGGCTGCTTTGTTCCATATGTAGAGCATAGGCAGAATAGATTAAGCATAATCCTTAAGAGTCCTATGATTCTTGAAATGGTCAGTGAACACTGGCTTCAGCTTATAGTCACCAGCTGCATTAGGCCCTTACAAGACACTCAGCCTGTCCTTTGAGGCTTTGAAGTCAAGCATTGACTTTTCTCTAGGTATGAAAGTTCTAGATGGTGTCGTCTTCTGATAGATGGCTGTTTCATCTCCTTTGAAAATCTGTTGTTGAGTGTGGCCATCTTCATTAACGATCTCAGCTAGCTGGTCTGGATAACTCGCTCTAGCTTATGCATTGGCACTTTTTGATATGGAGACAGCTTCTTTCCTTAAACCTCATGCACTCACCTCTGCTAGCTTCAAACTATTTTCCTGCAGCTTCTTCCCCTCTCTAAGCCTTCACAGAATTGCAGAGAGGTAGGACCTTGCTCTGGATTAGGCTTTGACTTAAGGCAATATTATGGCTGGTTTGGTATTCTATCCAGAGCACTGAAACTTTCTCCATATCAGCAATCAGGCTGTTTTACTTTCTTATCATTCATGTGGCCACTGGAGGAGCACTTTTAATTTCTTCAGCAATTTTTCCTTTGTGCTCTGAACTTGGCCAACCGTTGGTACAAGAGGCCTGGCTTTTGGCTTATCTTGGTTTTCAATATATCTTCCTCACTAAGGAAGACAATAATTATTTCTAGCTTTTGATATTAAGTGAGTGATGTATAAGTCCTCTTTCCACCTGGGTGTTTAGTGGCCCTTGTAGGGTTATTAATTGGCCTAATTTTGATATCATTGCATTTCAGGGAATAGGCCCAACAAAAAGGAGAGAAACTAGGAATGGCCAGTCAATGGAGTGGTCTGAACACATTGAGTTCACCATCTTAGGTAGGCACAGTTTGTGGTGCCAAAACACAATTATGATATAATATCAAAGATCACAAACCACCATAACATACAGTAGTGATGATGATAAAGTTTGAAATGTTGCAAGAATTACCAAAATCTGACACAGAGACACAAAGTGAGCAAATGCTATTGGGAAAATGGTCCCAACAGACTTGCCCAATGCAGGATGGCCAGAAACCTTCACTCAGAATCTACAAAGTGCAAGAAAATGGGCTGTGCCTGTCCCATGGAAGAAGGCAAGAGCAAGGACTGGGAGACAGGAGGCCACCTCTCCCACGGAGGCTTTCCCTGATGTCTGCTCCTTGGCCATCCATTAGGATTTGAAAGAGGCAGCTGAAGCTGCTGGAAAACTCCAAGTTTGGCGGGCAGATTGTAGCACAGTTGCCTCCCACCTGGCAGCACCTAGGCATCTCTTCAGGGGCCATTTGGTTCTCCGTGGTCTGCCCAGCATAAGTGCTGAGCTGCCGACATCTGGGTTGTTGAGCAGGAGACCAGGACAGAGGGTCTCACTGGCTAGTGTTGAGACTGTCATTTACTACCCTTGTTATCAATTTCCTGATAACAGTAACTTCCTGCCTTCTACTGTCTTCTGTCCCTGAATCAGGAGTCTCTTGGTTCCATTTTTGCAGAAAATAGACTTCCTGATTCCTGAGGTGGTGGGAAGGAGCAGCCATCTGGACACTTAGGGACAGGGAGTTTTCAAGCCATTCTCCTTTACCACTTCTACCCACTGATAGTGTCAGATCCTAGTGCCATCAGTTGTCAGGCCTCTGAGCTGCAGCCTGGCCTCTTGTATGTTGGCATTCTGCTCTGCTGCATCGGTCACACCATCACCGTTCACTCAACCACATCGGGTCTGCTATTGATCATCCCTCTTCTTCATTCATGATGGACTGTGCTTTTCTATTCCTTAGGATCGGCGAGAGCAGAGGCTGTGTGCACAGTCTGCCTCGCTCACCCAGGAGCTTAGCAATGTCCAGTCTCTACAGCAGCAGATCGATATTGATTAAGCGCTGCTGTTCCCAGCCTTTTTCTTAGCCTTGAGTGGGACACAGAAGTATCAGTTCTCTAAGAATTTAAATCTATCTAGGAAGACAAGATGTAGGGAAACAACTAAATTAGATCTAAGGCACCTAGTACTGTAGCTTTTCTCAAGAGAGGAAGATTTTTGTGGGCTAAAACATCTGGTAGCAGCTTCTTAAAGGAAACAGCACTTTAACTGAGTCTAGAGGGATGAAGTAACAGAGAAATAGAGGGGAAGAAATTAAGTCTGGGCTGGAGAAAAGAATGAGCAAAGGTATAGAAGTGAACAGTGCCTATTCAGGGGGCAGGTGGTGGATGCCTAGTCTGAAAGACAGGTTACATCTGAAGAATAGCAGGGAAATATTGATGAGGCCATGAGATTCAGGAAGACATTAAAATGTATTTAGATTGATTTGGATTTGATGGAGAGGATGGAAGGGGATGACTGGGGGAGAGTTGAGTTGATAAAAGTCGTATTGGAAAGAGACAAAGCTTACAAGTAGTGGTACGCTGGGGCTCATGAGAGCCAATCGTAAGACTTTTGGGAATTTTTGAAAGCCAGTTAATGTTACTTTAGTAGCTTGAAATTAGCTATGGTGGGACTGCTTACACCACAGGAATAGACAAATACTACAGGGCTCCCCCTCCCCCGAGAGCTGGTTGTTGAATGTTTACCAGTACACTGTGTATGCAGGACGTGTTGAGGGGACAAACTTTCATTAATGAATATCTTAGAACAGTTCCTAAGCATGGTGCAGCTAAACTTGTTACAGGGGTCCAGGAAGGTATTTAAGAAGGTGTGAGTTATGCTGATAGAAGAAAAGATTCTGGAAATATTTTCAAAACATGAATGGCTAGAGTTGGTAAAGTTTTATATGTAAGTGATGAAGGAAGCAGAAGAATAGCATTACTTCGATGCTTCTGGTCTGTGAAAAACTTAAAAACAGAGATAACTGGGAAAGAGATTTAGTTAGTTTCAGTTTTTGGTTACTAATGAGAATAGCCAGGTAAAAATGGTCAGTAGAAGACTGTTGCCAGGTGGCAGATTGTTCCATGATTCCGTTTAGATGTGAGAACCAGAATTCAGGTGAGAGATCCGGGGTGGGTGGGGACAGAGACCAGAGTCGGTTCAGAAGGTGTGAGGACAGAAACTGGCATAACAAAAGCCTGGGCTCAGAGGTGAAGGGAAGACAAGGAAGGCTGGTAGCTTCTGCCTACAGTACTGTCTTCTCTCGCATGTCTTCCATTCTGCCAACATTTTCTTTTATTTTCTTTTTTCTTTTTTCTTTTCTTTTTTTATTTTTGCTATCATTAATCTACAATTACATGAAGAACACTATGTTTACCAGGCTTCCCCCCTCACTAAGTCCCCCCAACACACCCACTACAGTCACTGTCCATCAGTGTAATAAGATGCTGTATAATCACCACCTGTTTCTCTGTGTTGCACAGCCCTCCCCATGTCCCACCCCCACATTATACATGCTAATCATAATGCTCCCTTTTTCCCCGTGCTTATCCCTCCCTTCCCACCCATCCTCCCCAGTCCCTTTCCCTTTGGTAACTGTTTGTCCATTCTTGGGTTCTGTGATTCTGCTGCTATTTTGTTCCTTCAGTTTTTCTTTGCTCTTATACTCTACATATGAGTGAAATCATTTGGTACTTGTCTTTCTCCATCTGGCTTATTTCACTGAGCATAATACCCTCTAGCTCCATCCATGTTGTTGGAAATGGTAGGATTTGTGTTCTTCTTATGGCTGAATAATATCCCATTGTGTATATGTACCACATCTTCTTTATCCGTTCATCTACTGATGGACACTTAGGTCAACATTTTCCAAATGGAGTCTTCTCTAGGCATGTTGACACTGTTCAGGCGTTGCTTTCATTACTTTCTTTTTCTTTTGCTGTTGTTGAGATATAATTGACATGCCATAAAATTTACACTTTTAAGACATACAGTTCAGTGGTTTTTATTATATTCACAAAGTTGTGCAACTATCACTACTAATTCCAGGACCTTTCTTCACATCAAAAAGAAATTGTACCTGTTAGCAATGACCATCCCCCCTACACCCCTGATAACTCCTGTTTTACTTTCTGTTGCTATACATTTCCTGATTCCAGGACATTTCATGTAAACAGAATCATATATGTAGTCCTTTTTGTCTGGCTTCTCTCACATAGCATGTTTTCAAGGTTCATCCATGTTGTAGCATGTACCAAATTTCACTCCTTTTTAAGCTTTGTAAATTTTGAAATGAGAAAGTGTGAGTCTTCCAATTTTGTTCTCTTTTTTAAATATTATTTTGGCTGTTTCCCTTCAATTTCCTTATTGAATTTTTGGATCAGCTTAACCATCTCTGCAAAAAAGACTGCTGAAATTTTGGTAGTGGTTGCATTGAATCTGTAGATCAGTTTGGGAATACTGTCACTTAACATTAAATCTTTTCAACAATGTTTTGTAGTTTTCCCTTTACATGTCTTGCACTTCACATGTATTGCAATTTCTTTTTGATGCTACTGCAAATGGAGTTGTAAATACAACTCTTATATATTGATCTTATGTCCCACAATTTTGTTGAGCTCATTTTTCAGCTCTAGTCGTGTATGAGGATTCTTGGGGCTCCCTATGACAAGATCATATCACTCCTACTGGCCACCTGCCTTCTCTATCCACAGGCCTTGTTGCTTCTCCACCGGCGATCAGCACCCCATGAAGAGCAGCACTTGGTGGAGGCCGCCAAGCTTCTTGTCCTCCTTAACCTGTCCTTAACCTATCTGAAGCTGGAGCGACCCACCGTGGCTCTGCGCTATGGAGAGCAGGCTCTGACCATTGACTGCAAGAATGCCAAGGCCCTCTTCCGGTGTGGACAGGTGTGTTGGTGGGCAGGGACCCAGGAACAAATGGCTTAAAAAAGTGGTGGTTATAACTTGGGCTGCAAAAATACTGTCTTTTCAAGATAAGCTTTGAAATTCTGTCCTTTGACAGGCATGTGTCCTCATGACTGAGTATCAGAAGGCCAGAGATTTTCTAGTCCGGGCCCAGAAGGAAAAGCCCTTCAATCATGACATCAATAATGAGCTGAAGAAGCTGGCCAGGTGAGACCGCTGTTTGTAGGAGTGCAGACAGAGAAGGAGCTCTAAACCAGAGGCTCCCAGCGGGAAGGTGGGATGAACCTCCAGATTGCAGGTCTGGATATTTCCCATCTCCTGTGCCCCTGCCCCAAATAAGCACCCTGAAAGAAGGGGGCTGGTGTAATTTTTAAAAGGGCTTTGCTCTCCAGATACTCTTTCCCACTTGCCACTGTTCTCAGCTGACTGCAGAAAGGTGTCATAAATCCTGGTTTGATCTGAAATGGATCATTGAGGTCTGATTCATAGCATAGCGTGACTTTCTGGTTTCCAAGTGGTATCTATACCAGTCTTTCGGTAATGTAACTTTTTGATTGCAGAAGTTACGTTCATTGTAGAAAACTTCGAAAATACCAGCATAGAGGTAGGAGTTACTCACAGTCCCATCACCTCTTAAGAGATCCTGTGTTTTTTTGTTCTTCTGTATTGGTGAGATTCTCTCCTCCTGTTGAACATTAACCATCTAGTCTAGATTGCTCCTTAAAGCTTCCTGACATTAAAGTCTGAGTGTGCACACCTCTCACATGTCAGGCGTTTTAGGACCACCCAGCAGTTCCCTTTCTTGTATTTAAAGTATCCCATCAAATTAGATACAGAAGTTTGGGCATCTGATCATTCTTCAGCATGAAAATCTAGAGATAAGTTAGAAGCTACTGAGTGTGAGACTTCACTTGGAGCGACTCAGCCTGGCAGGTAGCTCCTGGCTTCCAAGGCTGCCATCCTTTCAGAGTATGGGTTTGTCTAGGGGCTTCTGAACAGCCCTTTGGAGCCTCCCCTGCCTCCCCTACTTGTCCAGCATGGCTTCCACCCACTCCTGATTCACTTCGGGAGCTGCTGAATGTTCAGCACTTCTGGACCTAAGTGGAGAATTCCAGCCACCAGATGTCACCTCCTACAAAGACAGACCTTCTCTAACTAGTGTGTCTCTCTGCAGCTATTACCAGGACTACAGGGATAAAGAGAAAGAAATGTGTCATCGAATGTTTGCTGCTTGTGATAGTGGCTCTGTCGTAGGAGACAATTAAAGGTAATCAAAGAGCTGAAGCATAAAAAGCTTCAGGATTTTGTCCAGTATATGAAAGTTGTGGTTCTCCTTGGACCACCAGTGAATAGCAGCTGACTAAATTTAGGGTAGATGGGAGGAATGGAAAAGTTCCTTTTGGAAACTAATGACAGAGTGCAGGGTGCACACACTGTGGGCCTTCTCACTGAGGGAATCACAGAGACTGGGAAGTCCACCCAGAGCCAGAGGTTAAATTTATAGGTTTGGGAAGCCATAAGCTTTAAAATTAAAAAAAAAAAATCCCCCCCCCATGTTTTGTGTTACCCTCTCCCTCATAGTAGCTAAGAACCTGAAACCATGAGTATAGTTATTAACGGGATGGTTTATCTGAGCTTTGGAATGAAGAATAATGATTCTTTTAGTCGGGTTTTCTCTGAAAACCTGAAACCCTCCAACGTCACTTTATAACTGACACATTATTGACTAAGCCGAGTCCAGATGTCAAGGGTCAGGCAGGGGCTGTGCGCAGCTCCAGTCCTGCTCATTGCCAGTGTGGGAACCGACGGGGTGCAGAGCAGAACGTTCCCGGGCAGCACACACACTGGGGTTCAGTGGGCATGGGGTTCAGGTTTCCCTGTGAGTACCTGTGGTAACCCTCTAGTCTTGTTTACTATTACTTAAGAAAGTCAATGGAAACAAAATCACCTGCCTTAAACACCTGCTTAGCTCGGTCGATAGCTCTGTTCTCTTGAGAGAAGTTAAACAAGGCATGACAAGAAAACAGCTGCCGCACGGGCTCATGGTGATAAATCTCTCCTTTGTTGCTGCCTCCATCGCTGCAAAAGGGGCTCGAGAGGAGGCAGCTGTGAGAAGGCCTGTTCATCCCAGATGTTGTCGCAAGCGACCTGCCCACTGCTTCCCTCTGCCCTATCAGAAACTGCCAGTCGATATGAGGAGTACATGTGGCCTTCTTCACTGCCCCTACCCCTGTAACCCTGGCCGTCAGGTCCTCCGGGGACACTGGAGTACTTGCAGGTCCTCTGAACCGAGACAGGCAGAGGACTCCTCTTGTTTGGCTACTGTGACTATCCAGTAGCAGTGGGGGCCGTGCGGCCTGCCTGTCAGGGAGGCTGCAGTCGCCAGGGCGTCCTAGACACACAGCCTAAGACCCAGCGGCAGGCAGCGCGGGGCCTTCCCGCTGGCTTTGCCTCCCGGCTTTCTTGGGCAGTACGGCGTCTGGGAGGCTGTAGTTTCCCACATATTCCCATGTATTTCCCATATATTTTACCACAGCAGTGACTGTACTGGGGTCTAAAGTGACTGTAACTGTCACAGCCCTGCTGCTGCTGGGGTCGAAGCACGTGTTGGTCTTCATGTTGCTGGTGTTCGCTCTCCTTTTCCTCTGTTGTACTTGTGCCTAGTCAGTCACTTGAGATGTTCAGGGTTTTTAGATAGTTTTGAACCTGGTTTTGACTGACTAGGACCATTTAAAATTTGCCTTTGCCTCCCAAGATGTCAGGTAGCACTGACTTGTCTGTGTCTCATCTTCCAGATGCTGGATGCTTCTGAATTTTCTGAGATCAGAGACCATGTCTTTTCCATCTTTGTATTTTCTAGCATCTGGAACCGTGCCTAGCACATGATTGGTACTCAGTAAATGTTTGTTGGCTCAGGTATAAAACAGTGCTAGACCAGCCTCTTTGGAACCATACCTTCCAGGCGGGCTCTTGTACTGGCCGTCAGGGCTCTTGGTATTGCAGTGACACAAACCCATCTAGTGTCAGCTAAAAAAGAGATTTACCAAAGGGCCCTGGGGCAGCCAAAAGTCAAAGGAGCAGGTGAACCTGTGGTTCCCAGGGCACAGGGGCTCGTCCCGTCTCTGCTCTGAGCTTGTAAGGAGTGCTCAGGTGCCCGTTCCCGCAGCCTTTCTGTTTGAGGGAGACTCTTCCTACTTTATGCCTCGCTCTTCTTCCTGGACCAGCCGTAGCTCCAGTTTGGAAGCTCCTGAGGCAGGACTATTGAGGGGTGTGCCCAGAAAGAGCACCCTTTCCTAGCACCACATAGTAGGAACTGGGCAGCCATGAGTGTCTGAAGTAAGAAGTCTGCTGTTCCCAAAACATAAGGGGCAGGAGATGATGGGCAGGTAAGAGGAAGATGCTCATGGAGGGCATTTAGCTATTGCAGCATTCACTGTGCTGCTGCATGACTTTGGGCCCCCCTGCAATGGAGCCAGCAGGTGCTGGGCCAGCCTGCGGGTAAATTCACCAGGGGAATGGAAAGAGGCAGGCACGGGAGGCCTCCCCTCCAGAACGGATGAGAGGTACTCCCTGTCAAAAAGAATCCTAGTGACAAACAGGAATTCAGCTGAAGGAGAATGTCCGTAAGGCCCAAGGGTCTGCAAGATGCCCAGTGGCAATGGTGGGAGGAACAGAAGCTAAGTATTCTGGAGTAGAGAAGTTTTAAGTGGTGGTTGGTGGGGGCAGAATTAGAAGCTCAGGAGTGATCACTCGTCCCTGGGGTAAGGGGGAACGCCACCCCCTGGAGTGTTCACAAGGTAAGCTGCTTGGTCTAGACAGACAGACAGACGGGGAGGTGGGGTGGCTACTGCCCACAGTCGTCTTACCTAGGCATCGTTTTTAACTTCTTTGCTTTTGGTTTGTCATTTATCTTTCTTTTACGTTGTCTTGATAGCATCACTCACCATTTATTTGGGGTTTTTTTCCCTTAGTTTGTTTCTATTTTGATCAAAATATTTATGAAACATTTTATATGCCAGGCTTTCTTTTACATGTGTAGATTGTTTTAATACACCATCACTAAAATGTACATATTATCTCCGTTTTATAGACGATGAATGAGACATGAAGAAGCTAAGTAACTTGCCAGGGTTACATGGTAAGTGGAAGAGCTGGGGATTTGAAATCTGGCAGTCAGGCCCTGGGCCACCAAGTTGAAAACCAATCTATACAAAAGGGTTCACCAGAAGAAACCAGTTTTAACTTCTCTTCTAGGGATTCTTCCATATAGCTAAATACTATGTTTATATTGACATTTCCTGATTTTTATGAGTTTTAGACATATATCTATTGACTGCCTGCTCGGATAGGATAAGTACCATTTTCTTCCTCCCTTTTAGTTATATAGCATTATTTAGGTCCCCTATTAGATTGTTGTAGTGAAAATAACACTCATATTGACGTTTCTGGTTTCATAAGCTAATGGCAGTATTTCCTATGCTCCCCCGCAGCCGATGCTATCACTAACGGAAAAGCCAATGAATGCTACCCTGCTTTTTCCCCCCTTTTTTGTTGTTCCTGCAATTTCTAATTGAATTTCTTTCTTCCTTGAACTGTTGATCTCTTTAAAAGCTCTGTGGTACCATACCATCTAAGAATTTCCTTTCTTCTAGGTGACCTCTGTCTTGGAAATCTCCCTATTTGTGTAACAATCTGTACGGATTGTCCTGTGGGTCTGGTGCACAGCTGCCATTCTGAGACTTTTATCTCCTGCACTGAGTCCACTATTTCCCAGATCCCTTTTCTTGGCTTACTTCCTCGTGCTGATGTTCTCCAGTAATGTAGATGTGTAAAAGATAAATTTTCCAACTCTTTGTCTGATTCACACTTGATCACAAACACACAGCTGGGTGTACATTTTGGAATGAAGAACCTCCTCCCCAACCAAGCTTCTCCCCTAGTTAAAAGCTCCCTCCCCCGTTAGAATCTGTCCCCTTAGCCCTACTTAGAACACCTCACCCACTCAGACCTGGGCCCTGGGCCCCTCCTGCTGAGACCTTTCCTGTCCCTGCTCACACCCTGCTGCCCCCAGGACTCATCTCCCTCAGGATGCCCCAACTCCAGATGCTGGGTGCAAGTCAGACAGCAGGCTGAGCCTTGGGTGGTCACTGCCGAGGAATGTTTTTTTCTTTCTGTCTGCAATTTTTAAATATCTCTTTGTTCTCGATTCATCTAAAACTTCACAGTAAAGTGTTCAGATACACCCGATACTCAAGTCCTATAGACAGGCACCTTAAATCTAGCAGTTCAAGTTCTTAAGAGCTAAGAATTCTTCTATAATATTTCTATAGTGACATTTTCTCCTGTTGTTTGCCTAATCCTCCTGTTCTGGGATCCCTGCTGCCTGGATGTCGGACCTCCTGAAGTGACCCTCCACAGCCTTTATGACTCTTTAAAATGGTCTCTTCCCCCAAATCCCAACCCTGCCCTAGAGATGTACTTCGTTTTCCAACTCTTCCATTGTTTATTTGTATTTTAATTTCAGTGGTCAAATATTTGAATCCACAAGTTCTTTTCAGATTTCCCTTTTTCATTGTGTCCCACTCTTTTTCACCCTGTTTATATTGTGAAAAAATCCCAAATTTACACAAGTAGAGAGAATAGTACAGTGATCCCCCTGCCATGTACTCAACATTTAGCTTTAGGAATCATCAATGTAAAGGTGATGTTTTCATCTATGGCTGCACCCGTTTCTCCCCAAGGCAGCACGGCTGGATTAATTTTAAGAAAATCCCAGTAATCAAATCATTTCACCCACAGGCATTTCCCTGTGTCTCCCTAAAAGGTAAAGACTGTTCTTCCACATTTTTTCATGTTCCCTGAAATGTTTATTTTTCTGCTTGTTAGCTTTGACCTTTCTTTCTCTCTTCCATGCTGCCAGCTTTGCACAAATGGCTGGTGGTTCTTAGTTTGCCTTCACACTTAAGAAGGAAACAGTAGAAAAACTGAGCAGGAGCTCTGTGTACCTGGCTAGGGCTTCTCAATTCCTTCTTAAGGCTGAGCAGGTGGGAGGCAACCAGAATGCTTTGGGACCCTTAGATACCAAAGGGAAGGGCTCTGCTCTGGGTACCAACTCTTACACCAGCTTCCCAGGTGGTCCTCAGGTAGAGTTTTTCTCCCTAAAGTAGTGGCTGTAAGTGCTATGTCACTGTACTCTGTATAACCCAATTTCTAGTGAAGTTGAACATCTTTTTGTGTGCATATGGTCATCTGTGTTCTTTATGCAAA